TATTCTGACTAGAATTGAGTAGGACTACGTCAGGCTAAGAAATTAGCGCCTTTTGTTCGACGTCCTCGGCATGAAATCCAAACCAGTGTCATGTATTGCTTAGCTGCAACACCTGCTATTGCCATATTTTCTTTCCAGTTGCTTTAGTAGCATATAATCCTGCTTGGAGAAGGGGTTTTTGATGCATTCACAGTGTGTGGGGAAAAATAAGATTAATGTCGTGATGCAAATTTTTACTCTATGGTTGCGATTGTCGTTTTAACTGTTGTGCGTGGGAAAACTAGTGAAACATGAAGTATATTCAATATATGATCTATCCCTAGCTAACCTGGCAATAGCAATATTGATATGTGTAGGAATGAGTTGAATTCTACGTTATCAATCTGGGATCGCTGCCGTTCAGTCTGTTCGTAAAAAGGAGGGAGGTTTAGTAAATTATTTCCAGCCGATTGTGTGACATGCCAGCTAGTACGTGCCTTACATAATACGCTTTCAGCCATTCGTAGGAGAGTGATTCTTCTGTAGCTTCTTGAGCGTTTTCATAACTAGGGGAGTAAGCTGATAAATCAAACTCCTTTCAAAATTCTGTCGGAAGGAAAGAACAGACATCTTTCCCATCTACAAATGCACAAAGTGCTTCTCTTTGCTCCTTTTTTAAATGAGAAATTGTCGCTATTTTAGCTAAAACTGAGTCATTTGACAGGTTGGTCGTAACGACACGGGTCCTCCAGCGTAGCCCTTCTGACTGTCCTCATTCCTACATGTCCCTAACAAAAAACCACTGCTGGCATGTCATTTATCCGACTCGCTGGTTGTTAAGAAACTGACAAATTAGCGGGACTCTTTCATGATCGGTTTGTTGTGAGACTGAAAACTCAGATCTCATGACAATCCAGCTTGCAGCGAAATGTTAACCCCTTGCCTGAAGTGACCCAAATACGATTTTTTTTTCCCATATGCGACCTGTATCTGATCTTTTCATGACAGTCTGAACAACACAAATAGGACTTGGCTCTGTGGTCCTGAATCCGATACGAATCTGATATTTTCAAATGCGACCTGTATCTGAATGGCCAGGTCGCATTCATCCAATCTGTATAGCATTAATACTCTACAAAGTCACTAATCTGTGTCTTGCTATGCAGAAGCAGCAAGAAAAACAACAACCATGATGGAAGATAATGCAGAGAGCAGTCTTTATTTTCAACCATCTTGAAAGGATTGTGGTGTTAATGTACTGGCTGAGGTTGGGAAACCTTGCCAGATGCGCTCCAGCACTACCATCCACCTTTACTTTTGTCAGCACAGCTCATGCTTGCTTGTGACGTCATTGCGTCCTCTACTGCTTACGGGGACACATAAGTTGCAAATGTGAAAAACAACGCAAAGTAATCGGATTTCAGGAAAAAAAATCGGAATTGATCATTAAGGGCTGCCTTAATGAACATAGCCTAAAACTTTTCCTCTAGTGAAGTTCTGGATGGAGTGTGTTGATTGGACAAAACATTTTTTAAATATTATATATTTTTTTTCGCAATTTTGGTACAATTATTGCTCTAATTGGGTATCTATCGGCTAAAGGCATGTTTTAAAATCTCTAGCATTACTGTGAGCCCATTTACTGTAATTTGCGTAATAAAAAAAAAAGTTGAAGTTGAGAGGACAGCAGTAACCAGTGGAGCTCCGAGGGTAACGGCTGTCAGATCTAATCCTAGCCCGTCTGCAGCAGCCCTATCTCAGCCTAGCCATGTGTGAGGTACCGCTGGCTCTGAGGACAAGTTTTTTTGTTTTATTTTCCAAAATGTTCATTTGATTTGTGTTTATCTGATTGTGTTAACTATTATTCCACCAATAAATGAAAAAAGAAATGTATTTATATCTAGAGACTATTAATAGCAGGTGGTGAAATACAGCTCCAGACGAGCCGAGCCTGTGGTGACGTCTGTGGTGACGATGCGGTGTACGCATCTGTTCCAATTGACCCATATTTATGCTGCGTGCTCCCATTGTCCCTAAGTCCACACTTTCCTGTGTTCTTCTTGAGATTTGTTTTGGTTTACATTTCCTTCTATGTCTCTTACAGCTATGCAGGCCTCTCTCTACGATACTCCCTCACTCTGGGTTCTTTCCAATCAGCCGGACAGCAAATGAAGAGGAAGCTAATGGTCATCTTAAGACTCAAATGCCATCCCCTCTTCTTGGACTTGAAGGTCAGACATCAAAGTTCTCTTAAACATGAAAACAATGTTTTTAATATGACTGATAGAAATGGAGAACAAAGAAAACAAGCTTCGATTGAGGCTGTAAAAAAAAAACAAGAACTTGATTGCCTTATTTTTAGTTAGGGGTAACTGCAACTTTTAACAATCAAACCAGACCCAATAGATGTACTGGAAGGGTTGCTTTTACTGGTATTAATGCAAAAGAAGCCGTCGCCTGCATGAGGTACTTATTGGCTGAAAATATCCACGCTTTAAATCTTCAATTCTTCAAGAGTCCAACAGGTTTTCAACCATGGAGCTTTATTGTTTTCCCTATAACCATTTGGTACTCTCTAAATTGTTCATACGTGTTTACATAGATTGTGTTCTGCACTTGGTGTTGTGAGATTTAGAAGGGAAACTCATTCAACCCGTATAAGCCAGAAGGGATTTACAGCCTCCTGGTAAATACTGCTACCCCGGGTTGCTCCCTTTGACAAACGGTTCTGAGTCAAATTCTCCCAACAGCCTTTGTTCAGTCCCCTGTGCTGTCAAGGTCTTCATTCATGTCTTTCTCCACCTTTCTACCAGCTGTGAAAAATAAATGAAAATACTTGGATCTAAGGTTGGCCGATATCTAAAAATGTTCCAACCGATATTCGTAAGTCCAACAAATGGCGATGATTGAAAATTTCGTGCAGATGGCTCGAGCGTTTTTTGCACCGCTGGTAATATTGTTAACGACTCGCGCACACTGCAAAAACCCAATTAGCTAAACCTGCTTGTTGTCTAAAATGTAGAAGTTTCTTTTCCAGTTTTTCCAACTATTTTGTGAGACATTGTTTCTTTTATTTGATGTTATTAATTTGTTTTTTTGAATGCGCAACAGAATGAAAACTGCCGTTGGAGATTGGAAGAATTTTCTTTTTATTTATTTATTTTTTTGTTGTTTAATTTGTATTTGGGGCTGCACAGTGGGTAGCACTGCTACCTTGGAGCAAGAAGGTTCCGGGTTTGATTCCCGGCCCGGGTCTTTCTGCATGGAGTTTGCATGCTCTCCCTGTGCATGTGTGGGTTCTCTCCGGGTACTCCGGCTTCCTCCCACAGTCCAAAATCATGACTGTTAGGTTAATTAGCTTCTCTAAATTCTCCTTAGGTGTGAGTGTGCATGGTTGTTTGTCCTGTTTGTTTCTGTGTTGCCCTGCAATAGACCGGTGACCTGTCCAGGTTTTACCCCGCCTCTCACCAATTGACAGTCGGAGATAGGCACCAGTGACCCCAGCAGGGATAAACGTGACGGAAAATGGATGGATATAAATAAATTTTGTATTTGTAGTCTTAAAATCCAACCCGTAACAGACGGAGCAGCCTGTGACCACACTTAAAATGACGGCCTCTCTCTGATTCTGGTTATAAAAAACAAAACAGCTAGTCTCTGGTTTGGATCATTTCCTTCTTCCTGTCTCAAGTTTAGAGTAGATAAATCACTGCTGCACGGTGGCACTGAGGGGAAAAAAGCTGCAGCTGGAAGGAGTTTGTGTGCCTGCTTAAAAACAGCATTAGTGGGGGGGTTTTTTGTGGGCTGCATTTTAACCTGTAGGTCCAAAACAGAAACCAAAAATAAAAAATCGCTCTTAAACGATTGTGAAGGGCTGAGTTTATCGTCGATGGTCAATAGATTTATCCAAAGGGCACTTCCATGGCCTCCAACCCAGCAAAGCAACTTTTTAAGGTATGAATATACGAACAAAAAATAACCTGTAAAACACAAGACCCTACAACAAGAATGAATCCTCTACATGACTGCTTTTTAAAATTAGAAGCTGCACGACCTCAGGAACAACTGCTTTATTCAGTTATACAAGTGAACGCCAAAATGGCATTTTGACTTGCAATAAGGACACAAGAATATTAGACTTGGTTTACGAGGAGTGTAATGGTACATGTATTTCTACTAAAAGCATATCTGATACACCCCTGAGAGATAAGTACACATTATGTCCTGAATAAAACAGTGTTGTTTTCTATCTGTGTGGGTTGAACTATGTGCACAACTGGTTGCTGTTTACAGTTTGGCTACAGAAAGCTGCAAATACACAATGGACAGGGATTCAGGCTATTCCTTAACTCTGCCGTTTGGAAACATTAAGGTTTTTCATGCACATGCTATGAAAAAGAAAGGTGTATTAAACCAAAACTTTATGAGCTTATGCAATTTATCTACAGCAATAAAGGACATGCATAAGCTTATTTGCTCTTATCTCAGTTACTCACTTTAAACAAATGTCACCTGAAAAGTTAAGCTCACAGATTTAGGGGAAAGATCAGCTGATACTAAAATATCTACCTGCGTTAGCCTGTCAGCTCAAACTCCATTTGTCATTTACAATATAAGTCAGAGGAATATCTGAATACTAGCTTGTTAAAATATAAGAACAACTCCAAAGTACATTGATCCACTTATTTTTATTTCCCATCTGATACTTGAATTTAAATACAAATACTTATTTAATACCAGAGCTCTGTTAGCTCTGTAGTCGTCATTATTGTTATTTTTGTTTTGTTTTAATAAGCTGTCATAAACTTCTCTCCACAAGCATGTCGAGAGAAAAACAAATATGCAACTGTAGGGTGTCAAACTGGCTGTATTTATTAAATGAGAGACAGATGGCCATAAATGGGTAAATCTTTCTGCTGTTTTAGAGATTTTTAACCTTGCTTGCATTTGTTATAATAATAGACTGAATATATCTTCCCATTCTGGATCAGGTCCAAGTAATCTAAACCTGTTTTTATTCTCAAATATGAAAAAAAATATATATATATTTTGATTTTGTTCAAGTGGATCTCTATTATAGTATGTCTTTCCAGGCAGTGACTATTCCTGCTTATTACTACTGTATTTACGTAAGAAAAGAAAAAAATCGTTAAAACACAAAATGCTGGAGCAATGTCCTGTTTGCTGAAAGCTACCATTAAGAATGAAAATAAAGACCTCTTATCTTCATCTAGATATTTTATGGAAGTTTTACCAAAACCTTTGTTTATATGGCGTTTGTTGCACTTAACAATTATGCCATATTAATGAGTATTTTCTTAGATTTGTGTTTTCCTCAGATAAATATTATACATATCAGAATAAATGATGTTGGAAAAAGATGATCTTTAGACCTCTTAGGTTGGTGCCTCATGCTGTCAGGGTTACTCTCATATAACCCACAGAGTAAAGCTACGGTGAAAGTGCAGGACTGCTGCGGAATAATAGACTGTCCCAATAAACAGCTGATTACTTCAAGCCTTAATTGATTATGAGGTCTTCGAAAGGCCCGGCCTACGTGGCAGGGTTCTCACCAGTATTTACCATGAGCGTAGAAGGATAATGAGATAATCACATATTATAGGCACATCAACATTAGCAAGTGATTAAAAATACTCCAAATACATTTAAACTTGAGATTAACTTTATAAAAATTGTCCAGTGTTCCAGAAGGTTATTTTAACCGGAAACTAAATGATTGTTGTTATCAAAATAACTTGGTTAACAATGGATGATACTGTGTATGAATTAAATACAGGTAGGATCTATTTTAGCGCAACGGGTTAAAACAAAAAATTATCACGCAGAATATAATATTTACATGTGCCACTTTTTAATTCTAGGTACCGGTAGATCCATGGAAGCTTTACACATGCGTGGCTCATGTTTAATGGGGTAACAGAGGACAGTTGCTTCAGAAAGGGGCTGCAGCTGTCATCTTTAAAAGGAGTTCACTCACTCACTACTCGCTGAAGACTAAAAAAGTTACCATTTGACTTTTTTGGAAATTTTATCCCTTTCTATTTTTTTGTTAAAGATGCACGGATATCTTATTTAAATAAAGCCTGACTTATTTTAGATGTAAAATGTGAAAGAAAGGGGTGAAATCTGTACTCTCATGCATGCTACTATGCTTTTTTCCTACTCACACCAATCCTATTTTAGGTGCAAATGCAAGTTAAACACTTGCACTATACATCCCTCTAATTGAATTAATTCTGTGATAATCTTCAGTAGGTTTGAAAATGTATAAACTTGCTAGCATGCGGAAAGCTGATTTGCTAACCAGATGCAAATGCGTGTCTAAAAATGAGCCGAACAGAAGGCGCTAACCTTTTAACGTGTTTGGGTACATTATTATGCAGAAAATATGCTGATGACCAAATTGTGCAAATTATCGGGAGCAGGAAAATCTAATTGGAATTCTTACCACCTGCCATTTATTAGACCTGCAACTGAATGTGGATGCAGTTTTTACTTATATGCTTTGCAGTTTTAGTAGTCGGATGCAAACTAGCATAAAAAAAAATTCCGCCGTCATTGTGGTGAGGAGGATGCACGGCAGACGATGGAGAGAGAGATTCTCTGCTAACCTGAACAAATATAGGCTCTGTTCGGATTCATGAGATGCGTTCTCAGAAGGCCAGATTCGAAGGCCGATTACGTCATAGCGCGGCGCCGAGGCCTGGTCGGATTCCAAGAGTCCTTGTGATGCGGCCTTAAAATGCATCCTTCTTTTTGCCCGATTTGAAGGACGATTCAGATATATCCTCGCTATCCTTGGATGTCACAGGATACATTGCGAGACCAAGCAAGCCGGCTGTTCCGTGATCAGAGGAAAAAGGCACTTGGCGACGAACAGCAGTGAATATTGAAAGTTCAGTTTAATATGATACAAGTATGTGAATAGTTCCATTTGAAATGAATGAAGATTGTTGTTTTAATAGTTATTGAGTCAGATATGTGACAGTGATGTTTGATTTATCTAAAGGTTTTTATCTGTTACTGTGTAAATGGGTTTATCTGTAATTTAAGGACAGAAAAATGTATAAGAATAAAATAATAGGGAAAATTTAAAATATAAAATGCTGTACTGTAAAGTGTTCTAACAATATAAAACTGTCCACCAGGAAAATAAATAACCAATATGCAGCTATGGGCATTTTTACAGTAATGGATATTTGAAAATAGCAGCAACATCAGAGATGAGAACACAGCCACAACTCTTCCGGTCTCCTTATTTTCACGGTCTTCGAAGGATCCAGTCCAAGTAGACCGCGTCCTTGGAAGACGCAGCCCATGAATTCGAACACAGCCCTCGACTCAAAAATAGTACTGGCAGGGACAAAGACATCATGGTGGGCTGGCACAGATTAATGCACCAAAAGGACAAACACCATGACTGAACTTGGAGGAAATGTTTTTTTGTTTTCCGTTTCTCCGTAAGACTTCACATAAAGCAGCTACTGTATATTTTATTACAATTCTATCAGTCTGCCTTTGTTTGCATCTTTTCTGTAAAAGCAGTAGTTATGAGGAGTTGATGGAGGTAAATCCAGCTGTTAAGAGCTTAATTTGGCTGTAAATCTGCCCACAGAGCACGCAACTACCTCATTTAAATTGTGACTTTTGCACCTGTTATCCCATGGGCACACTATCTTTTTTTTTTTTTTTTGCACAAGCAATTAAGTTGTGGCCAATCTTCATAAAGACTCCCACAGTCTTCTCAGGGGGCGCTTTATCTTTGCTAAAACGTTACTGCAAAGTGGTTTTAGCATCAGAGACCTTCAGATAGCTGCTGGGTTAGGAAGCTGACTGACATTCCTAACTTAGTGAGGTGTTGAACCTGTTGCTATGTGTGATGCTATCACTTGATAGCTGTGATTGGTTAATACAAACAAACAGGGAAAAAAACCCAAATAGCTCCTAGTAATAAAGGGAAATTAACTGATTAGGGAATTCAGACAGGATATGCATGTCTCATGATGATGAAACTTAGAAAAATAAAATATCAAAGCACCAACATGTTCATAACTAGAGATCAACTGATACAGGACCCTTAAAGCTGATACTGATTTTACTGACATCCAGTCTAATCCATCGCTGATATGTGCTGTGGATTTTTTATGTGGGCTGATTTCTGCTTTTCCTTCCTCCTGTTGCGTAATAAATAATAAATTGCATGACAAATGTTATATAAGTCTCATCCGTCCATTCATCCATTTTCTGTCACGCTTATCTCAAGCAGGGTTAGGAGTTTGCTGGTGCCGATCTTGGCTGTGTACGGGCGAGAGGCGGGGTACACCCTGGACAGGTCACCAGTCCACATAAGTTTCAATGTTATTAAAAAAATAAAAAAACTTAAAAAAGAAAAAAAAACAGTAATGGAAAATATTGGCCAGCCAAGGTATCGGCTTATTTCTAGACGGAAAACATTTTTCTTTACTTAAATGATATAAAACCTTAAATCTTGATATTAGAACAAAAAGAGAGGAACACATACTAGACTTGTTAGGTAGTCTGTAGTCGGACTTTTAGGGTTGGTGTCCTTCAGGTTTAAGATGTTTCTCCATTTTTTATTGCATTTAAGATATGAAAACATCATGTACAATAAAAATTTTAATTTACAATAAAAATATTTTACATCTTCCCTTTACATATGTAAAGTGAATGCATTGCATCTTATCTTGTTTAGATTGTGCATTTGAATTCATATTTTCCTTCTGATTTTTTTGTTGTATTAAAATGTCTCTGTAGTCTATTATTTCTCTTTTTTCATTAGTATTCAATATGTTTTAGTGGAGGCTTTAAAGCAACGTTGGATAACGTTTGACACAGGTGTAAACTTGATATGAGATTAAAGAAAAGGGTTTTCATGTCAATATTAAGTACTTGGTGCATATGGATGGTCCCTGCAGGCTTCTCTTTTCAAAAACTTACCTATGGATGAGTCATGTGACCCAGAGCGCAGCTTTACAGCAGTCTGAGCTCCCCTTAAACGAAGCTAACTAAGCTAAAAGTTGATCTCTTACCTGATCAGACATATTTCTGATTCTCTGATGTACGATTTAATCCAGAGTGGTGAATGGGGCTTTTTCTTTAGCAGGAACCCCCTGATTCTCCGTCTGCAGCTCCAACATGGTCTGCTGTCAGATTTCAAACCACTGAAGGATAACTGATTTATCTAAACATCAGTGTTGCTTGTGACCCTCAGGGTGACTAAACATGAAAGTTACAGATCAAGTGCCCCCTGATGATGGAATATTAATATTGCTTTAAGTCATCCAGTGACAGAAACTATTTATTTATTTATAATGGTTATGATTGTTGAAGTTTATAAGCTCCTTTACTCTGTTTTAATCATATCTGCTCCTAGGCTTGCTAATAGTCCTTCCTACTGTCTTCCTCTAAACTCACAGATTGAGTAAAGTCTTTCTATTGTTAGCAGCTCTCTTAAGACACAAGGTGCTCTGTGAATAGCTTTTAACTTACCAAGATGAAATTCTAGGAAAAAGATTTTTCCTAACTGGACCTTTTCTGTTTCATAGAGGCCTGCAGAAACTGTAAAAACTGATCTTAAAATAAGAACAAAAGATAAAATAAAAACCTGTATTTGCCCTTAATATGAGCAGGTAAATGGTTTGATTAGCCAGAATATTTTCACTCTTGAGATAAGATGGATAAAAGTAACGTGAAATAAGAGAATAAAGTTATTTTTTTTTTCTTTTTTTTTTACTCAAATCATCTTATTCTATTGGCTGTTTTCAGATGTTGCATTTCTTAAAACATAATACATCAACTTGTCTTTCTAGACTAACTCCCTGGAGGTGGTCTACAGGAATATCTACAAGCTGGTTCTGCTGCATGCATGCAGGTAAACAGAAAATCTAGACATGACACTATTTTTAAACCCCACGATATCTGCTGTTATGTATTGATACCTAGAAGATAAATATGTCTAAGAGCACATGCAAGGGCCACATGTTTCCACGTGTGAACTCTCTATCCCTGACCTAATAACCCTGATAAGATAATGCTGCTATTAAACTAAACAGATAATTGTCAGTCAATATCTGGTTGGTTTATCAATCGCTTAACTTATCTGAAGGTTCTCTTTGTTTCCAGGTTTCATGTGTGTGCCCAGAGTTTGCCCTTTGGTCAAACAGTTGCTAAGAATCCACTTTACTTCCTGCAGATGATTTGGGACATGGCTCAGTATGCCAATAAGCTCATCAGGTCCAGCAACAAGGGTAACATTCCACCACAGAGCCTGGGAAGAAACTTTCATTTTAAGAACATCTCTGTACATGCTGGCCATTCAATTTTGGTTTGGGAATGAGGAATCCACAATCAGAAAACAAACAGTTTCCTGATTTTCCAAAAAAAAAAAAAAAAATTCAAATTTTTGCTGTTTTCTTTAAAGGGATCATAGAATGATTCTATAGGGTATTTGGTGCTGGTCCTTAAGGTCTCCAAATAGGGTGTGTAACATTGGTTGGGCTGAAAATGGCATATTTGCTGTTCTATGAGCCCTAATACAAGCCTGGTTAAAAGCCTTAGAATGAAACGACAGGTTTTCTTCCTTTCATGAATATTTAGATGAGCTGTGTGCTGATTGGTTGGTTTAAAACGAGCGAAGCTGCTGAGCAAAGAGGCATCATAGCAACAAGCACTCACTCACTGAAACATCAAAATTGCTGATATGGTAGGGTGACCAGACGTCACGTTTCTCCCGGACATGTCCTGCTTTTCATACCTAAAAACATGTCTAGGGGGAATTTCAAAATCATTCGGGATTTTGGTCGATTACAGCGCAGCACGTAGTCGAAGCACACCGGGCATTCAAACCGAGCCGTCAGCTCGGGTGCTGGTCCGGGAACCCCGACAGACAAGGTCAGGGAGACAGCAAGGGACGGAGCGACCAAACTCAACCCAGTGACGGTAGCCTGGTCAGAGGCTGCCCCGTGCTTCCCCCCGCCTTCCTTACCGGCCCCCAGCCCCCCTCCTCTGGCTGAGGACGGGCGGATCATGGCTCTCTGCTTAGGTCTGGTCCAGTCAGCGGCCCAGCAGTCGATACTTCATACCCCCCACCCCCCACCCCCCACCAGTGAACCAGTGGGCGGGTCTGTATGTCAATTTCAAGGTGTGAAAAAAGTACAGGCTAGAACCAAATAAGGCAAAATCCCAGAGTTTTCATCAACTAGGTGCTTCGTTTAAATTCACCCGTTTTATGGTGGAAGTTTAGAAATGTTAAATTTGCAGAGAAAGGAAGTGTTGATGGGGTTTGAACTTCTCTGTACGTCCATTTCACCCACTGAACTATCGTTATTCATCTATGACAATGTAAATTTGCTTTTGCATTCTATGACCCCTTTAAGGATCCCAAATCAGAAACATAAAGAACGACCCTTTATCCTTTTTCAATTCCAAAGTGAAAAAACAAACAAATTTAAATTTCTTTTCCTCCTTATTCAACTCCCCCTCCCCTTCCTTCTCTGTTTTGGTCTGGGAGTGAGCCAGAAGCAGTCGTAACACAATTGATTTTTGTACAAAAGTATTGTATTTATAGTAAATTATTAGCAGTTTTGAGATTTCATTGTCAATACATAAATACATTGCATTGAAATACAAAGCTATAAACATCCGATCCTATGAATATGTTTTAGTATCATAGCAAATCCATAGTGGTGACATAAAGCTGAATCTGGATGATGTGCAGATTTGCTTTTTATCCCTTTTTCATTTGGGAATTTGAAAAACTGATAACAGGTCAATGTTTTTATTTTTATTTTTTTTTTCCCCCCAAATTTGGGGTTTTCAATTTTGAATTTATCAAAATCGAACGGCGAGCATGTACACAGACTTTCTCTTCATGCTTTCATCTTCTGTTTTTATTTTTTAATTTATATTTCAGGGCTAATTTTAGGCAGCAAAGCCCAGACGGGCATCATGCAGTATGAGGCGGTGGAGCTGCTTTTCTGTCTGAGCTTCCTGCTGGTGCTTTCACAACACCGTCGACTCTATAGGGATCTACTGACACATCTGCACAAAAGTTTGTATCTACAGAGGAATTTAAAATATACTTATATATTGCTGTTAAAGTTTTGGATTCTATGAAAATATCCAACATTTCCATTGAGTGTTTGTCCTCAAATCATAGCTAACTAAATATTTCAATACATCATTAATGTTGGGTAATTATGAGGTGTTAAAGTTAATATTTTATTTCCTCTTTTTTTTTTTTTTTTTTTTTCCCAAACTAAATCTTCACATCGTTCTGCTTCACTACTTGTCAAAACATACTTTCTCTAACCCAACTTTACTTCATTTTTTCTTCTACTTCGTATATTCTCGTTAAATTTTTTACATCTTCACCATTGCCTTCTGTTCAGGCATATACACACAATAAAATATAACATTTATTCAAACATGTCGTCACAAGAGGTGATAAACGCAGCCTCCGGTTGCCCTGAGAGCAAACTTTAGACAATAAACATTTGATATCGGGTAGAGGACATGTTACCGTCAGAGTTATAAAAGTTCATCCTTATAAAGTCTAGCTTCTAAATCTAGTGAAGGTGGGTTGATAGTTTAAAACCGAACCTTTTTGATCTACGGTTAGTTTGCAGCCTCTGCTTCAAGTAGTTCTATTTTATTTACCATGTTTTGTCCCTCATAAAGTTTAAAAAGAAAAAGATGTCCGTTATAATTACATAAGCTGTTTTGAAATGACTGAAGTTTTCCAAACAGCTGCTCTTATTTACGTGTTTTAAGGTTTTCATAAGATGTTGCAGTGCTTATTTCTGCAACTTTTAACCAATAAAATTTGTGTTTTTTTTATATATCAAATCCAATGTGTTTTTAAGCACATTGGGTAACAAAATCTTTAATCTATAAATAAAATAACTTGCCAGCAAATGTTTAGAATCAGTTGTTCCTGAGGGTTTGGATTTAAGCACTCTGATTATACTATTACTTATATGTAAAAAAAAAAAAAAAAAAAAAAAACTGAAAGTGAAAAGATCAGGTTTAAAGCGACACTTGGGGCT